AGCAGCAGATGATGAAGCAGCAGAGAGCTTGATGCTGGCTTTAATCCTCACGAGACAGCCGGCACATCTTCAATGGCGCCTGGAGCGATGTTTTCGGGCAGGCAGAAACGCTGCAGGTAAACAGGGACATCAACAAGCAGAGGGGGTGGGGGTCCAGAGCCCCGATCAAAGTGGTCGAACAAGGCGGGGTTTGCAGTAGATAACTGTATATTTAAAAGTTGTTGGCGATCATAAACAAGAAGTGAGCTGATGTCACCGAAAAAAAGAAAAGAAAAAAAAACAACAAAAAAAAAAACAGAAAAAAAAACGATCAAAACAGACAGAGGTAAACGGCAAGCCACCAGCACCGGCGCCATCTTCCCGGAAGTCATAAAAGTTATGAACAGAATTGGTGACACGGGGCAACCTTGGCGGAGTCCAACTCTCACCAGGAACGAGCCCGACTTACTGCCGGCAATGCGGACTAGGCTCTGACACCGGTCATACAGGGACTTAACAGCCCATATGAAAGGGCCTGGTACCCCATACTCCCAGAGTAACCCCACAGGGTTCCCCGAGGGACGCGGTCGAACGCCTTCTCCAAGTCCACAAAGCACAAGTAGACCGGTTGGGCAAACTCCCATGCACCCTCCAGGACCCTGCTGAGAGTGTAGAGCTGGTCCAATGTTCCACGACCAGGACAAAAACCACACTGCTACTCCTGAATCCGAGGTTCGACTATCCGATGGACCCTCCTCTCCAGAACCCCTGAATAGACCTTACCAGGGAGGCTTAAAAGCGTGATCTCCCTGTAGATGGAACACTCTCTACGGTCCCCTTTTTTTGAATAGGATGACTACCACCCCGGTCTGCCAATCCAGGGGAACTTCCCCCGATGTCCACGCAATAATGCAGAGTCATGTAAGCCAACACAACCCTACAACATCCACAGCCTTAAGGAACTCCGGGCGAATTTCATCCACCCCTGTGGCCCTGCCACCGAGGAGCTTTTTAACCACCTCGGTGACCTCAGCACCAGAGATTGGAGGGCCCGACCCAGAGTCCCCAGGCTCCGCTTCCTCAGTGGAAGAGGTGCCGGTGGGATTGAGGAGGTCTTCAAAGTATTCTGCCCACCGACCCATGACATCCCGAGTTGAAGTCAGCAGCACACCACCCCCAATATAAACAGTGTCCCCCCACACGTAGGCGGAAGGAGGCTACCCTCTCATTCACCGGGGTGAACCCCAACACACAGGCACCAAGATGGGGGGCAATAAGTATGCCCACTCCTGCTCGGCGCCTCTCACCGGGGCAACTCCAGAGTGGAAGAGTGTCCAACCCCTCTCAAGGAAACTGGTTCCAGAGCCCGAGCCATGCGTAGAGGTGAGTCCGACTATTTCTAGCCGGAACCTCTCAACCTCACACACCAGCTCAGACTCCTTCCCCACCAGTGAGGTGACATTCCACGTCCCAATAGCTAGCTTCTGTAGCCGAGGATCAGACCGCCATGTTCCCGGCCCTCGGACACCACCCATCCCACATTGCACCCGACCCCTTTGGCCCCTCCCACAGGTGGTATGCCCATGGGAAGGGGGACCCACGTCTCCTCTTCGGGCTGTGCCCGGCCAAGCTCCATGGGAAAAAGCCCGGCCACCAGGCGCTCGCCCGCGTGCCCCACCTTCAGGCCTTGCTCCAGAGTGGGGCCCTGGTGACCCACGTCCGGGCGAGGGAACATCGAGTCCATTTATTTTTCTCATTATAGAGGTGTTTGGGCTGCACTCTGTCTGGTCCCTCACCTAGGACCTGTCTGCCTTGGGTGACCTTACTAGGGGCGTGAAGCCCCTGACAACTCCCTCTCGGTTTTCAAATCCCGTTTAAAAACCCACTACAATTCAGTAGCTTTCAACACCAGAGGATCTGTGTTTTGAACCTGTACGCTTCATACTGGTTTGTCGTCATATTTATTATCTGCATCGTTTTTATGTCTATATTTTCGATTTACTTTATTTTGTATATTGCTTTGTGTGTTGTCTGTTGTTCTGTCTGTACAGCACTTTGGTTGGCCTTGTAGCTGTTTTAAGCGCTCTATAAATAAAATGGTATGGTATGGTAGCATAGCTCCTAGGATCATTGGGACACTCAAACCCCTCCACCATGGTAAGGTGGCAGCCCAGGGAGGGGGTATTTATGAATATAGTCCAAAAATGCCGCTCCACATTTTCCTTCTTCAGAGTAGGAATGGTACACTTGCAGATGACACAAACACATTTCGAATATGACATTGTGGGAAAAAAAAGGTCCTCCTCAGGGACAGCAGTGGTGGCAGGTGGGGTCTGGGGGTCCTCCTCCAGAAAGTTTTGAATAAAGTAGATGTGATTTCCTGCATTTTGGTGTATTTTAACGGGTTGTTAAAAATCTTATGCTTACCTACATTTGTAAACATTCCGCTTCTGTCAAGCACCCCCCCCTCCCCCTAACTTGACGGAACCATCGTGTGAGTCGGGCTTGGAACTGAGCCCGACTCTGTCCCTGCTCGTTGTTGTCAGACTCCACATGTGAACCTCCAGGCACCTGCCTGCGGCTGCCTGTGAGCTCCTGCCTGCGTACGACTGCCTGGTTAGCTCGGCACTCACCCCCACCACTCTTTTACGGGCAGAGATTTTTTTAAGGGTAGATGTGGAAATGCTACTTGAAGAGGCAGATCATGTGCTGTTGTGTTTAAAATTAGTGTTTATGTAATAATTTTCAGTTTACATATCCAATATAAGTTTAATTCATTCAAGGCAGTCATATTTGTTCATAACTTTATTGTTAGTAAGCCTGAGACTTACCGGATCCAAGCAAGCCGTTACCAGAATGCACCCTGTCAGAATAAGAGTTTCCGGATCCTGTTCCGGCAGGATCTGGCTCAAATTAAGCACTGGTCCTACCATTCCGTATGGAAATGGTAAGCTTTTTTTTCTTCTAACTTGGTCCAGCTCCCTCACTCATTTTACACATTTTCTTGAGTTTAGATTAGAAGAAATAGTTTTGGTGCAGTTGTATGCATTCGCACAGTGACCTATGTGTCAGAAAAGGTCCGCTCTCAGATTGGCTACCCTGTATATCAATCAAGTGACGAACTGCATAGTAAGGATGGATTGAATATATACAAACACACACATTATATATGTATTCTTTTAATGTATTTAAAAAAAAAAAAAAAAAAAAAAAATATATATATATATATATATATATATATTTGTTTTTAAAGTCCGACGTCTATTTTGTCATGCGATCTACCCAAATTGCCTTTGCAATCGACCGGTAGATTGCGATCGTCATTTTGGGACCTGCTCTAAATTGTCCCTAGGTGTGAGTGAGAGAGTGAATGGTTGTTTGTCTCGTTTGTCTCCGTGTCCCTGTGATGGACTGGAGACATGCCCAGGGTTTCCCCCACCTCTCGCACAGTGACTGCTGGACATGGGCACCAATGACCCACACGACCCAAAAAAGAAGAAGCAGGTAAAAGATAATGGATGGATGATGGATGGATGGATGTTCATATACATCTAGTTTGATGCAGCATTAGATAAGCGGCTTCCTCTGTAAAGTCATGTTTGCATCTCAGTAGCCTCAGTTTTGTCTTTTTCTTCAAGTCTACAAGGAAACTTGTGAGCCATGAACTTGTTGACATCTACTCATTAAAGACAGCTTAGCAATTTTACTGCTATGTGTATTTTTAAAAAAGGATGGGCAACAAAACCTAATGACTACAATGTGTACACATCCCTGAAAGAGCAAGAAATCATTCTCCCAACTTTAGCTCAGTCTGAACATTCAGATCGTCTCCCTGCTGCGATATCAACTAACTTTCTTCAGTTTGCCTGTTTGTTATAATCTTGATGGACGACTGAGTTTGTGAAATAGGTGTTTACTGCAAGCGTCTCAGCTGGATTAAACAGGCACTTATGTCACTATTTTACACAATAATATGCCGTTCAGTAAAAAAAAGACAAGTAAGCAAAGGTGGCTTTAATGATTATGGTCTCATAGGTTCTTGCAGCTGGAAAATTAGCTATTTTTTGTGACAAGATCATGGACACAGACCCTGGTTTGGTTCAATAAAAACTGCAAAGCTCTTAACTTTGACCCCAGAACACTGCACTCCTGCAGCACCTACCTGAAAAATCACTTAGAAGGCTAGTTTTTTTTTTTAATTTGTTCTGATCCACAAAACACAATGTGAACTGGACAACCAAACTCCCATGACTCTCAACAAGGGTTAAGATCCAGTCCATGGTTCCACAACCCAGATGATAGGAGTACTGCTTTTTATAGAGCTTGACAGGAACCTGGAGTAAACTTTCTCAGAGAGGCTGAGCAGTGTGACCGTTGAAGACGAGGTTGCATGATTGTTGAGGACTTGAATAACCAAATAAATATTTCTTAGAGTTCTTCATCATTAAATTGTGTGATAGATGCAGCTCTAGATGTATAGAAGTTCTCAAAGACCAAAACGGTACTTTTCTTACATCCATCCATCCATTATATTTACCCGCTTCTTACTTTTCGGGTTGTGGGGGTCACTAGTGTCCATGTCCAGCTATCACTGTGCGAGAAGTGGGGGACACCCTGGACAGGTCTCCAGTCCATCAAAGGGACACAAAGACAAACAACCATTCACTCTCTCACTCGCACCTGTATGAAAAACCATGTGCGCTTTCCATGCATTGAAACTAAAGGATTATACATGTTACTGTTTTCAGTCTTCGGTACATAACATGAAAAACAAAAGTCTATGGATAATAACCGGTCCAGTCAGTTTGACCTAACAATGACAGAGGAATGTTATTTTTCAGAATGTATCATGTTGGACTTTTTTCATCTTCCTTTAAATAAAACCTGGGAAGCTAGTGAGCAACATGCTGAGATGCATTTAAGGGGTTTCTGTTCATGTATATAACAAGACTGGAAATGTAAAAAAGACAAAAATCTAACGGCCTTCAAGCAAACTTTTGAAGTACAAGCTAAGCACTTACAAGATTGTGCTCTGCTGCCCACAGGATGAGCTCCTTCGGTTGGTCTTTGAGCATGTCCTCCTTCTTTTGATACCACTCCTCACTGTGGTCCTCTTCGTCCACCTCTGTATCATCATCCTTGCTTGCCGTCCATGAACTTCTGGCTCCTCGGGGAATCAGGGATCCATGTGTGTCAAGAAGTTCAAGCTGGTTGAAATCTTCTGGAAACTCCATTTCTGAATGACTTTGTCAAACTCTGAAACACTAAAAAATAGAGGAATTAAGTCAGAATAAGTTGACTGATAAGAAACTAAGAACAAAGTTGGAAAAAGTTAAAGAAATGTGTTTATCACAAACGTATTTGAGGACTTTTTAGATCAAATTTGATGCAGTTTTCTAGGATGAGCCATGCTAATGTTGATTAGTCGTCTCCGCCTTGGGTTTAGTGTAAAACTGTCCTCTCCAAAGTATTTTAATTGTACCATAAAAATCTAAGCTGCCTGACTTTAAATGAGCCGCCATTTCTAACCTGGATTCTGAGGTCAGAGGCTTGTTTAAAAATCCCGTTCTAAAGCTCATTTTCCAATGTTGTCGTTATGTGGAGAGCTTCAACCAGAAATGTGTAACAAATTGACATGTCCCACAGCTCATTTATTTTCCTCTAACTTGTTGCAGATCATTATGAGCATCTCTGCGACTCAGTCAGGCCAGGGTAAAACTAAGGACGATGGGTTTCAAATAGCAAGTTTTATATCAGAAAAAAATGCATGGTTAAACTGGGAACGGTCTGTCAGATAAACAAAACATGCTGTATAACTGAGACATTACAAAAACCAAGCTAAAACCCAGAAGCAGCGAGGCGCTGCTAATGAAATGCAACTAATATACTGACGATCATCAGCGTGACCATCTCTACAACAGAAGTCTGTCAGTTTGATGCTCTGATGCATTCTGGTGAATCAACAGAAAGCCAGAAAGGAAAGATGTCAGAAATGATCTCAAACGAGCAACTGCTGCTGCCCACCAGTTAGGGAATTGTTATAACGACATTTCTAAGGTCGATCTTTCTGGAGGGACCATTACCGTTCACAAGAGGGAGTCGACAATCTTCTCAGAAAGGTGGAAGTTACATCAAGTTCAACTCAGGATCTAACGGTGAAGGAAAAAGCGCTTCATGTCAGACTGCACAGGTCTTAATTAGGATGGTGAACGTTAATGTTCATGACAGAATGGTTGGATGTTTGGAATGTTGCATCTGAATGAAAACTGTGTGTGAGACAAACAAGACGTACACCAAGTTTAAGGAAAAAAGCAAAGAAATGCAGGAGATCTGCATAAAAAACAAATCTGTCTGACAGCTGAAGCCTGACTCAAATCAGGCCTTAAAACTGGACGACTTGACACCCTGGAGCAGACCTTCAACAAAATTACTGAAAAGAAGAAAAGAAGAGTTGCTGTGACCCGATAAACAACCCGTAATCAGGTGGAAAAATTTGACACTGGCTCTTAAGAGAGCATAAAAACTCAACATGTTAAAGAGAGAATCTGATTATTCTACAAGGATGTGAGGGTCAAGAGGATGCTTCAAAAATTTATTATTATTATTATTTAATAAAAATATGGCTTGAAAAGCATTTGAATCCAAAAATGTTCTAAATGTTGGTTGCAATGTAGTCCTGATTGTTCAGTTCACTAAAATTATCTATTAAAAACTGTGACGGGAACTGGAGACTCTTCGCCTGTCCAGTAAGAACTCTGCACTTTTCTCTTTCAAAATCATTCCAGGTAGATTTATTTTGTTAAACTATGTAAAATAGATAAATAAATAAAACAAAAGGCAGAAGGATGCTGACTCTGTGTGAAACTTGACCAAGCATCTCTGGCGTTTCATAGATTATTATAAATATTCATAATATTAAAAACACATAACCCTGGAGGCAGATAAAATAAAGAACATCTGCTGCAGTCTTTTTAAACTTTAAAATGTGCATGCTCGGTTTTTCGTTTGAAAGACTGTTTAAGTAAATTCTGGGCAATTATCTTGTAACATGTAAATGTTACGATTAGTGAATTAAATAAAGCACAGATAAAAATTGATTAGTGAATTAAATAAAGCACAGATAAAAACTGTTCAGTTAAATAACCACAGAGTAAATATTTCACAGTTAGTGACGTGTAGCATTTTATGCTAGCAGTGTTTTAGAAGCGAAAGCCATATATATTTTATACATAAATAAATATTAAACACACTGCCTTTCTTTGCAGTACTTTTCGACAAAAGGTAAACTCAGATTAAAAGAAACCAAAAAGTAATGTTACAAAAAAAAATTTAATACAAGCACTGTATTAAACTTACGTTGATGTTTACTCTTCTAACATCTCACAATTTGTCTTGAAAATCGCTACTAGCTCATTATTTGTCAACGAGCTTCAGGGCTGAAGACATGTGGGGTTTGTAGTTTTCAACAACCAGAACGCAACAGAGCAGATTAATTAAATAACTACATTACCTAAAAGCTCGCGCGGCTTGGCTTTTCTTCGCTGAAAGAAAATTTGGTAGTCTACTTCCTGCTTAGGCTCGCTTCTGTCTCCTATGGGTCAGTTTAGGATCGATCCTATCGTCTTCTAGAGATTATTTTTACTTTTTGAACGCTTGGCTGTCCGTTTTAAAACCAAAATTTAAACATTAAAAACTCAATCACCCGCACAGACTCACCTTTACCTTTTAAGCAACTATTTTATCTAAATTAAACTAAATATCTCCTGATGCATGCTCAATAATCCAGTTAGAAAAATCTAACAAAGTTAAGTAAAGTCCTCTGGCCAATCATATTATGGATATAACTTATTTATTTAACAAAATCCCAACACTAAATTTTAAAAGATAACAGTAAGATCCTAATAATTTCCATGCCAGTTTTTAACATCAATATAGAGGAATTTGTGCTACTTTCTTTGCAACAATACTTGAGTTTATAAAGTTTTGCAAAAAATAGTTTCTGTACAGCTTTCTCATGGTGCAGTGCTGCAGTCAGACTGAAGTCTGGGCTTTTACTGAACAGTTCAACAATTATTCCACATGTCTGCTAGATTGCATCCCAACCAGGCTATTTAAAGACATATTTCCCTTAATTAATAACAGCATCTTGGATCTGCTCAATTTGTCTCTAGCTTTAAGAGTCAGAGTCAGAGTCAGAGTCAGAGTTTCTTTATTGTCATTCGCACCTCATGTGGTACATGTGGTGGAGCGAAATTATGTACGCAGGGTCCCAGTTACATCCAACAATAAAATGTATAAGAAAAACAGTAATAACATCAAAGATATGAACTAAGAAAAACATCAACTAAATATACACTAAGCACTCATAACATAAAACATTGAACATCACCACAAACATGAACATGAGTCTGTGAGCAGATGTGCAGGCATGAACACATCAACATTGAAACAGATCAGCAGCAACATGAAACAGATCAGCAGCAACATGATATGGTTTTTCACAGTGATTATTCTAGTTAGAGATTCATGAGTCTAACAGCCTCAGGGTAGAAGCTGTTCCTCAGTCTAGTGGTTCTACACTTAATGCTTAAGGTTGTTGTAATTAAATCTTTACTTAAGAAACATAACCTTGACTCAGGAATTCTGGCCCATTATAGACCTATATCTAATCTAACTTTCATCTAAAAAAAATTCTAGAGAAAATAGTTGCTGGTCAGTTGTGTGAACATCTGCAAAGAAATAATCTGTTTGAAGAGTTTCAGTCAGGATTTAGAGCTCACCAAAGCACTGAATCTGCACTGGTGAAAGTTACTAATGATATTCTCATGACCTCTGACAATGGACAGGTGTCTATACTGGTCCTGTTAGACCTCAGTGCTGCATTTGATACAGTTGATCACAATATTGTACTACAGAGACTTGAATATGATATTGGAATTACAGGAACAGCTCTAAATTGGTTTCAATCTTATTTATCTGATAGACTCCAATTTGTAAATGTAAATAATGAATCTTCATCGTACACCAAAATTAGTCATGGAGTTCCTCAGGATTGAGTGCTTGGACCGATACTCTTTACTTTATATATGCTTCCATTAGAACAAGGCAAAAGGGTCTTCTCCTACTCCGCTCTTGTTTCCTGGAATATCTTTCAAAAATATCTGAAGCGCTCGACCTTGACCTCTCTAAGTGGCTATAAACATCTGTTAAGTTCATGGCAAAAACTAATGCAGACATGTTCTTGATTTTAGTTTTCTACATTGCCTTACAATGTAGCTGGTTCTTTTTTTTGGGTTAAATTTTCTTTTAAATACCATTTTATTTTCACTTGTTATTCTCAATTTGTATGTATCCTTTATGATTGTCTATTGTTACCATACCATACTTTTTTATTTATAGAGCACTTTAAACAGCAACAAGGCCAACCAAAGTGCTGTACAGACAAAACAACAGACAACACACAAAGCAAAATACAAAATTAAGTAAATCAGAAATATAGACATAAAAACGATGCAGATAATGACGACTAACCAGTGTGGAGCATACAGGTTCAAACACAGATCACCTGATGTTGAAGGCTACTGAATAGTAGTGGGTTTTTAAACGGGACTTGAAAACCAAGAGGGAGGGGGCCTGTCTGACAAGCAGAGGTTACTCATTCCAGAGTCTTGGTCCTGCTACAGAGAAGGCCCTGTCACCTCTGCGCTTAAGACGAGTTCCTGGAACTGTGAGGAGCAACTGGTCTGCTGACCTCAGGGAACGTGGTGGGACATACGGTTGTAGCAGCTCAGAGAGGGGGGGGGGGGGGGGGGGGGGACTATTCAGTGATTTGTAGACATACATGAGTATTTCGAACTGGATTTGAAAGTGAACTGGTAACCAGTGCAGTGAGGCCAAAACTGGTGTAATGTGCTCTCTTTTGCCTGTACTGGGTAAAAATCGGGCTGCTGCATTCTTCACAAGTTGTTGCCGTTGTTGTCTACTGTTGTCATCACTCTTTGTTAAAATCAGGTCTCTGTTGTAAATGAGTCCCCGAGGCTCAATGGGATCAACCTGTATAAATAAAGGTTGAATTAGGTAAAGTTATTTAAACAGCATAGGATAAATTTTCATTGTTATGCTGATGACACACAGTTAAATTTGTCCATGAAACCCAATGAATCCAATCAGCTACTTAGACTACAAGCATGTCTTGAAGACATAAAAACCTGGATGACCCTAAATTTTCCACTTTTGAACGCAGACAAGACTGAGGTTTTAGAATTTGGACCTGAGCATCTTAGGAATACATTTTTCAGTCTTTCTCCCTCCTTGTTATTTTTGATCAGGACATGTCTTTTACCCCCCACATTAAAAACATTACTAGAACTGTCTTCTTCCACCTGCATAATATCACTAAAATTAGAAACATCTTATCTAAAAATGATGCAGAAAAACTGGTCCATGCATTTGTCACATCTAGACTGGATTATTGCAATGGTTTGTTATCTGGGTGTCCAAATTCTTCTTTAAAACATCTTCAGTTGATCCAAAATGCTGCTGCCAGAGTCTTAACTGGAGTTAGTGGGAGAGATCATATCTCTCCAGTTTTAGCTTCTCTCCATTGGCTCCCTGCACCAGAATTGAATTCAAAATATTACTTCTAACCTACAAAGCCCTCAACAACCTTGCTTCATCTTATATTGGAGATCTTATTGTTCCATATTTTCCTAACAGAGCACTTCGCTCTCAGGCTGAAGGTTTACTTGTGCTTCCTAGAGTTTCCAAAAGCAGAATGGGAGGAAGATCATTCAGTTATCAGGCTCCTCTCTTGTGGAACCAACTTCCAGTTTCTGTCCGTGAGGCTGACACATTGTCCAGTTTTAAAACTGGGATTAAGACTTTCCTTTTTGATAAATCCTATAGTTAGGGTCGGCTTGTTATGCTGCCATAGGCTTAGGCTACTGGAGGATAAATTGGCCTCATGTCCTTAAATTAATTGATAAAACTGAATAATTTTCATCTGATACTATTTCTATCTTAACATGTGATTCTTGACCTGCCATTGTGTATCTGTTCCTCCCAAACCCAACCAATCGAAGCAGATGACCACTTGTCCTGAGCCTGGTTCTGCTAAAGGTTTCTTCCTCATGAGGGAGTTTTTCTTCTCCACTGTCGCCTTCATGCTTGCTCAAGATGAGAGTTCTGTGATGGAGTTAAATTCAAAGCAGTCTGCTCCTCAGATAAATAATGTTATTAACTTACTTTATATGTGTTTCTGTTCAGTGCCCTGAGACGACTTCTGTTGTGACTTGGCACTATATAAATAAACCAAACTGAATTGAATTTATTATTTTGTTTCTTTTTAAAGACAATTAGTTTAAATGTGTTTATGTTTTGGGGATTATTGACTGGGTGCATGGCCTCCCAGCCATTTGTCACAAAGTTTGGCACAAATCATCTCCTACACCAATATTTATTATAAACCATGATATTCACATGGTTACTATAGCTGCCATATGTCAAGATGGCCGCTTTAGAATTATTTTTTTTGTGGTTTTGGACCTGATGTGAGGTTGAAACATTTACATATTCCAGTCTTTGCTTCAAAATAGCGGTTTTTGGGCACGCTAAATTAAATCCCAGTGTCATAAAAGTGAATTATTTTGAAATATGCAAGTGTAACAGTGTATGATATATAAATGAGGCATTTGAACATCTTGTGAGGTTACAATATTTTATGGATTTTGACTGATTACACAAAGTCCACCATGGAACATTTGACAGTGACTCACAATTACTTTGCTCTACTCATCACATCTGCACAGATCTGTGCGCATGTGACACCAAAGAGGCAGCATCTGCCACGACATACAGGTTTGTGTGAATGGCTGCGACACTCAAATTTTACAGGGAAAAAGCAGTTCTTCTCATAAAAAATGGTGGCCATCTTAAAAAACAGCCGCTGTCTTTGATTTTCAGATGAACATCGGTATTTGATAAAAACTGAAAAAAAGTAGGTCCTAGATTATAAAGCCAAATTCGGTGCTTGAAAGTGGCAAAAATTTACTTTTGGCTAGTAGTTTAGTATAGTGTAGTAGTAGTAGTAGTAGTTTAGCAGTGGAGAGCATCCTGTGCTCCAGCATCAACATGTGGCATGGAGGCTGCATAGCTGCAGAAAGAAAAGCTTTGCAGAGAGTGGTGGAGGCTGCACAGAAGACTGTTGGAGTCAGTCTCCCCACCATCACAGACATCTAGACCTCTAGATGCAGGAAGAGGGCCACCTGCATCATGAAGGACCCCACTCACCCAGCACACACCCTTTTCCCCCACACCCCTCAGGAAGGAGGTTGAGGAGCATTAAGTGTAGAACCACTAGACTGAGGAACAGCTTCTACCCTGAAGCTGTTAGACTCATGAATCTCTAATCAGAATAATCACTGTGAAAAAAAATCACTGTAATGCCACTTGATTGTTGATATGTGCTGCTGATTATCCATGCTGCTGATCTTATGCTGCTGATTTATTTCACGCTGCTGTATTCATTCGTACTCATCTGCTCACAGACTCATGTTCGTGCTACTGTTGTTTGGCATATTGTTTTTGTATTACTAGTGCTTAGTGCTTAGTTTAGTGTATTTCTTAGATCATATCTTAGATCTTATTACTGATTTTCTTTAAAATTTATACTTTTGTTTGATGTAACTAGGACTCTGTGTACACAATTTCCTTCCACCACATGTACCACATGTGGTGCGAATGACAAATAAAGAAACTTTGACTTTTTAGTTTTTAGGTTGGGGTGGCTGTGGCTGAGTGGTTAGAACAGTTGTCCTCCAATGCGAGAGCTGGGGGTTCAATTCCACCAGCTATTAAGAGGATAATAATAAATTATCATAACAAAAATCAATGCTTTTACATGCATACACCGATGGGACACACATCAGAGGCAATGAGGGGTTCTGTGTCTTACCCACACTACGGC